CCAAACGATCAAGATCTGGTCCCTAACCGCCGGAAGGTGCATGCACACATTGACCATGCACAACGACAGTGTTTGGTCTCTTTATTCGAATCACCCTCAGCTATCTGTCTTTTACTCGAGTGACCGGTCTGGCCTCGTTGCGAAAACCGACACGCGATATTCGGCGGACATTGAGCAAGGTCTCTGTGTCGCAACGTTGCAAGAACACGACGGTGTAGTCAATGTCGTAGCAGCTGGAGACTACATCTGGACTGCGACACCAAAATCCAGTATTAACCGTTGGAATGATGTGGATACTACTGCTGATATCGAGCTACCATCATCAAGCGAGCGAGAAACTGCTTCGGGCACTGAAGCCCCAACAACAGAGAAAACGAAGACGGCAGATAATCGATCGAAGAAAATTCCGTATGATTCAGTTCTTTTGCTCTCGAATACCTCGACGTTCCCCAAAGCAAGGGTGCCCGAAACTACCCAACCGCACTCGAATGCAAATGCGCAGTCGCCGTCATCCGAGATAGAGGACGAACTGGGGCTTACACTTCCTGTCCATACGCTGCCAGATGATACAATTGAGGGTCAGCATGGCTTGATCAAGTATTTCTTTTTGAACGACAGAAAGCGTACGTTGACGCAGGATTCTGCTGGAGATGTGGTTCTTTGGGACCTTCTCAAGGTATGCCTTGTTGATTGAAATATCTTGGAAGGAAAACTCCCACCACAGACCTCACTAACCAACGGCTTGTAGTGTGTGCCAATTCAATCATACGGCAAGCGTCATATAGACGACGTGGCATCCGAGCTAAACACAATAGAAAGTATTGCTCACTGGTGCACGATTGATATTCGTACTGGAAGATTGTCCGTGATACTGGAACCAGGTCGCTGTTTTGATGCCGAGGTCTACGCCGATGAGGCCGAATTGCCAGACTATTCACAGATTCGTGACGATCAAAGGAGTATGTCTATGATGCCCCACTTGTCACCACCTGCTCGGGCTTATTAGCTAACAAACAAACTATAGTCAACCTAGGCAAATGGATCTTGCGCTGGCTTTTTGCTCCTTTGATTGAGGAAGAGCTCAAACGCGACTCTCAATATCGTGACGCTGCCCTAGCAAAGGCCGAGGAGCTCGCAAAACTAAATATGTCGAATACCTCCGCCCCAATGGACATACCCTTCGCAGATGGATCACGAAATCTAGCCACATCCTTCGACCCATCAATATCATCTCTGAGGCCTGGATATGAATCTTTTGGTAGCCCCTCGACGCCAGGCTTTGGAATAGGGTTTGCCAACAGCCCCGGATCTCTCGCGACGCCAACACTTAACCCAAATACTAGTCACCTCGGCACATCACCGGGAGAGTTTTCTGACTATCTCACATCTCCGCCAACTGCTGATCTGACGAGGAGCTCCCTGTCAGATAAGTCGAGTGAGTATCTCTCATCACCTAGAACCCATGGTCTACCTCCACTGGATACGGATAAAGCATTGCCGACACCAGGGGAGCCGACACCAACAGCTCTTCCACAATCACCGATGGAGCCTGATAAGGAGGAGCGGAAAAAGGGCAGCTCTTTGTTTGGAAAGAAGTTCAGAATGGACTTCCCGAAGAAGCTTGGACGGACTTCATCGGAAGTTAAGCCCCAGATTCAAGAGGAGAAGGTGGAGGAGTCCGACAAATCTTCAGTAAAGGAAGAGAAGGTGTTCGAAAACAACCTAGGCGGCTTCATTGAGCGTATCCGCTCGGAATACGATGAGCATCTCTCTGCTCACCCCGGGCAAGAGTTGACACCAGCCTTCGCCCCGAGTCAGGAGAATGAAACGCCGGTACTGAATATACCGGACCGTGTTGCCGTGCTGATACAAGAAGAAACCGGAGAAACTGCTGTGGCTTCTGACCTCTACCGAGGCAGTGTAGGAAGTATCCGGGAAGAGGTCGATAAATTGGAGAAATCGATTCCTCTGTGGCTTGCCGATCTGTTACTTAAGGTACGCCGTCTCTTCACGGTGGTCACATTGCCTCTAACTTGTTTCTGTAGAACCAAGTGCCTTTCAAGGAACCCGTCAAGGTCGCGTTTACGCTGAAACCGTATGATGATCTCTTACCCCCGGTTGTGAAGCCAGAAGTGTATGTAGAGGACCCGTCGACTATCATAATCTCCTCGGAGGTAGCAAACTAATTATCGTCTAGCAATGTCGCGAATGGCAACACAGCCAACAATCGGCTGAATGCAAACCGTATGCTACGAGCAAAGAAGATTCTTGCGTATGTCGCGGAGCGAATCGACCCACCGAACCCTGACGAACCCGAAGAGAATGCGATGAAACCGGAAGAGTACTTGGAACTGTACTGTCACAAAGTTGTATGTCACATTTATGCTCGATGTAGTTGGAGAAATCGCTAACGTTGAAATAGCCGATACCCCCCAATATGACTTTGGCGACGATTCGCACTCATATTTGGCGCTCATCGGGAGATATGGTGCTCCATTACAAAGCAAATGGAAAGAAGGAAATTCGAATGCCCAGCCCTAGCCAAGAGGATGATAACGGCAACCAGAATGCTGGAGCAGGTTCCCAGCCGCCTGTCGAAGCAGGAGGCATGTCTCAGGGAGAAGGTGGAAGTGCGCCGCCAGGGAGCATCCATTCACAGACGGCCTCTGGGTCGGCCTCCGTGTCTGCTCATAATCCTTGATTCGAGTGGAGAACCATCACTTCTAATTCTTTGTGACATTACTTCTGTGTACAGTGCTGGACATAGTGTGAATATCCACATGGACGTAAATGATCGTATGTATATATGCTGTTGATAACAGACACAGTCGGAACAATGGTACTGTGTTTGAAATTTAATTCAAGTTGTAGAAGTTGGGAACTACGGATTGTAATCATAGTGGAGTTCGATATAAAAACTCCCCGGAGCGGATCATCCGCGCCAAGACCTAAACGCTGCGAGTATAAATTTATCCATCGAACTTCCTCCGTACCACTCTTTTTACAACGGGACACTAAAAACCGAGAAGGCTTGCTCACGAATGAAATAGTCAGTGAATCTATGGCGGCGTCCTCTCTCCGGCGTCATACTGGTACACAAGCAATAAGTGCCTCGCAATCCCTGGAATCCTTCCAGCGAGTATGGCTCGGCTCCCGATTGTCGCGGCCCTTCCCGCGCCGATTGGGTATGTTGATATCGCCGAAAGGCACCCAAGCGTAGGAGCGCTAGATTCCCATGCTAATAATCTGTAGGTCTGGCAGTCAGTGGCGGCGCAGACTCCATGGCGTTAGCATATCTCAGTAAACAATGGGAAAAGAGTCGACCGAATGATATATCCGTCACGGCATTCGTCGTCGACCACAAAGCGAGAGAAGAGAGCACCCGCGAAGCTAACATGGTCTCACAATGGCTTCAAGACATCGGTATCTATGCTCGTTTATACACCCTATCACTCAATACCAAACCAACGCTAACCAAAACGCCAGGAATCAAATCTGAGATCCTCGAACTGACCTGGCCTGAAAGCACTAGGTCACCATCCAAAGTGACCGCGTTCGAGACGCATGCCCGCAGACTCCGTTTCCAAGCGCTGGGCAAAGCATGTCGAGACCGCCAGATCGAAGCCCTTCTAATGGGTCACCACCAAGACGACACCGTCGAGACGACACTCTGGCGTCTCTGCACCGGAGCCAAAGGCGCCGGCCTAGCAGGCATCCCCCAAGTGACACGCATCCCCGAATGCCACGGTATCTACGGCGTTTCTGAGAGCGGGTCATCATACACGATCCCGTCTGGACCTCAACAGCCGAGAAACGGCACCATCGTCTCAACAGGCGGAATCCTCATCTGTCGCCCCCTCCTCTCCTTCCCTAAGTCCAGCCTTCTAGCAACCTGCCACGAAAACAACATCCCCTACGTCTCTGACCCTACCAATTTTGACCCAACCCTAACCCCCCGCAACGCAATCCGCAGCCTCCTGGCCGAGAACAAACTCCCAAAGGCCCTCCAAGGCCCTTCTATTCTATCTCTGATCAACTCAAGCCAATCCCTCCTCCGGGACTCAACATCCCTCTCAAACACCCTCCTCACCTCCTGCAAGATCAACCATCTAAATCTCCCCGCCGGAACAATCACCCTCACCTTCCCCTCAACACCAATAGACCCAACCTCCTTCCTCAACACAGTCACCAACAACACCAAACCCAAACCCAAAGACAACGACAAAGCAAACCAAAGAACCCACCAGATCAAATGCCTCACCCTTCGCCGAATAACCGACCTCCTAGCCCCATTCCCCGAGAATCACTTCCCTCTCCGCAGTTTCGAGTCCTTCACGGACCTTGTGTTTCCACCCCAGGACCAGCCGGACCCTAAACAAAGGAAACCGTTCACGCTGGGCGGGGTAATGTTCCAACCTATGAACACCAAGGGAAACCGAGATGAAGCAGATCAGAGTGTCGAGGGTGGCAATACCTGGCTCTTATCCCGCCAACCGTTCATGCGGAACCGGTTGCCTACTCTGCGGGTTGAGGTTCCGATTTCAGGGCTTCCGGCGGGCTATACGTCCTGGAGGCTTTGGGATAATCGGTTCTGGTTTCAGTTTGGTATTGTCCCCGAACAGTGTTCCCGTGGAGCTGGGGTTGAGGTGGCTCAAGATACTTCCAAAGGGGAGGTGATATCCTTACTTGTTCGTCCGTTTCAGCCATCGGATCTTCAGGTGATTCGAAGGGTTATTGATGAGCGGGGAGGGCGCTCGGAGAAGAAGAAAAAGAAGATGGACCCTGCGTTGGTTGGAGTGTTGGATCAGCTTGGACAGGAAGCGCCCGGACAGACTCGGTTTACTCTTCCCATGGTGGTAGTTGAGAAGGGTTCTTGTGGACTTGAGTATGACTTGCCCGTGGGGTTGCCGACGTTGGATTTGTGGTTTCCTGGGATGTGGGAGTCTTTACAGATGCCCGGGAGATTACGGTGGGAGTGGATGTATAAGATGCTGGACAACGAGCCGGTGAAATTGATGGGCTGGCTGTAAGCTATTGGAGTTATACTACATTATAGAAGGAGAGTGAAAATATGACATAGTGAAAGTGATAAGACAGGAGGAGTACAAGTGAAGTAAAGATAGTAATTGAAGGACACAGAAAGAAAAAGACAAAGTAAGAAAGGAAATAAAAATTGACCGACATGTAAACTCCTATGGCTACGCTATCTCAGTGCAATTGAAGTGGCCAAAAGTGGACAAGCAAAAAGAACGAAGACATGGGATACATGAGAATAGCCAAGAAGATCTGCATCGACTCCGACATAAAAAGAAAAAGAGCATTTATCAACATAGTAAGGAAGGTGCTGTACGAAAGAATGGAAGCAGAAAGTGACTTTCCTGGACCTCTCCAACCGAATCCCCATACCGAGCAGTCGTATTTCTCCCTGGACATATTCAAAGGCTGCGTTGACGCCGTAGACCAACAGTAATCGAGCATAAAGTAGTGAAAGAGAGGAAAAGGAACGTCTGTCTTAAAGTAAATGCGTGTAACTCGTGTCCAACCGATTTTGATTTTCGAAAAAGAGCAGGTAAGAGGTAAAGAAGTATACTTCCGAGACTAGAGGCATAATTTGATCGTCATTCACTCGCCTTCAGTAAAGCCACCGCGGCTTGCTGAGCTCTCAGGCCTCCAACCTCTCGTTTCAGTCGGAAATTTTCTTTTTTCAATCGGCCGATCTCCTCTAACGCTGCAGAGAGCTGGGATTTGAGGGCATCTTCAGCATCTCCTGCTCGCACGTCTTTCGCAACCTTGCTCAGCTCCGAGTTGAACCGGTCGTAAAGGGCTTCATTCTCGGCGCTGGCTTCACGATATAGCTCGTCAAGCTTCTTAGCTCGTTTCTCACTAACCACGAGAGATGACTCCAAGTCTTTCTCAATGGCAGATGTCCGACTGTTGAACTCTGAAGATAGCGTATCGAAACGCGCCTCGAGGTGACGAACACGCGATACGAGGGCCGCATTGTTTGTTGGCGAGAAAGGTTCATCCAAATGTTCAGAACCTTGTCTTGCATGTCTGGTTTGCTGTGGTGGAGCGATCTTGAGCGCTCGTAATTCTTCACCGATAAGGAACAGTTCATCCTTGAGCCCCAGCTGTGCCGCACTCTGAGCCTTCTTTTCATTCTGAAGACGATCTCGGAGCTGTTATTACCATTTGAATTAGTAGCTTTCTTAGAGAAAAGAACAATAAAAAAGAGAAAAATAAAAGCCGTGTACCTTCTGTGGACTCTGCATCCGCAACTTTTGCGGCTTCTGTACCGATGCACCGTTAACAGCGACTGGTCGCTCCTTCAACCCAGGCGCCCTTGATGAGGGTACGCTGGTTGCTCGTGACCTTCTCTTCGAGTCTTGCGTAGGTGATGCCGTTGCATCTCCTTTCTTCCGCAAGGAGGCTCCACGCTCAACCTGTGATAGTTTTGGGTCAATGTTTTCTTTTCGGCTGGGAGTGGCAGGCCGCGTCGGTGATCGTCGGCTGGGCGAAGTCATCCGAGTAGGTGAGCCGCTCTTAGTTGGGGAGGTGCTTCGCTGCGTAGAGCCTGAGCTATGGCTGGTTTGTGGGCGAATCTGTTTGGTTGGGGTAACTACGTCGGAGGACGACCCTGCTGTGGTAGGCCTCTCTTCCTGCCCCGGAGATACGGCTGACGTCTCCGTTGATGCTGTACCTGGTCTCAGGTCTGACAGAGAGCTTCTCCTCTTTCTCCGCACTTTCACCACTCCATTAGTTGGCATTTCTCGAATTGAGGACAAAGATGCTGTTTCCTCCTGGGAGCTCCCTGGCCTTCGAAGATATTCTTGTGATGTAGACGCTCCGGGACGGTCACGCGAACCAGGCCGCAGGAGATGGCCTAGGCTCGTGTCGATGTCTATGGATCTTGAGCGTAGCAAAGAGCCTCTCGGAGTGCCGGGCTCTGAGTCACCAGAGCCTTTGCTTTTGCTTAATGTCCTTAAGATCGACGAGACCTTGCTCTCCCCTTCTGATCGTTGATTCTCTCGGTGCAAACTGAAACCAAAACGCTTTCGGAAGGACGACGCGTTGGAGCTTATTGAGCCGATCGTTTGCGAGGCAGGTTTACTTTGATCGCAGTTTAAAATACCTTCCAACGATGCCCCCCCAGGAATGAATTCGTCGAACAGGTTATCGAAATCGTCAACCAATCGATCCAAGAGGGAGATGTGCTGCATCGGATCTCCGTCGGCTGTTAGAATCTCTGCAAAAGCGGCCGTTAGAGCACCTCGGTCACCGTCGTTTCCAGAGGCATCAAGTAATTCTGCAAGTAATCGCACTAAGGAAGCTAAAGCGCGACGATTCTGTGGACTCATCTCCCCAATGGATTTCCGGAAATTTTCTTCGAATTCGCGGGGATACATGGTGTCGAACTGATTTTGAAGTGACTTTAATGACGAGGATTCCAGTACTGGGCCCATCTGCTCCTGCCATGCGTTTGCCATGAACGTCTCGAAGGCTACGAAAAGTGTGTCGACAGGTACTTCGGCTGCTGCCTGGATTTGTCCAGGATCTTCTAACAAGACATTATACAGCTCATTGACTGCAGCTCGATCAACGTTGTCTCTCCCCCGAAGTGTCCGTCCAACGATGTTCCCACTGCGGGACTGAAGGGAGAGGACGTACGCAGCAAAGCTTTGTTCCAAGACACTGAACGGGCTTTCTGAGCCTTTCAAAGACGTTGTTCCAACAACGGAAATCTTGGGTAGGGGGTCTTCCTTCTTCTCTTCTTTGCCTGGGAAAACCGAAGGTAGTGTATTGGAACGTGAGACGCTGGATCGTGGGGGTGGCATCTTGGGGAATTCACCCAATAGCGTTGCGGAAGTCGGTGCCTTGACGGTTGGTGTGCCTTCTCTTGATTGACTTCCACCCAGAAGACTAGAGAGCAGTTTTGAGGGCGACGGAGGGCGAAAGGTACGAGGGACCTTGAGCTGCGCCATGAGATGGCCCGAAAGGTAGCGAAGTATGTCAAAATTGGAGAGAACAATTGACTCAGTCATGGTCCGGTTTTGGGTGCCATGCAACGGCAGAAGCAAGTTCAGGACTACAACCGTCAGCGAAAGACCAATACTCGCACAAATGGGGTGTTCTTCATTGCTGTATACTTACGGCGTTTGGAGAGCACAGGAACAAAGCTATCCACTGTAACAATATCTGAGGAAGCGATGCCAACTACTGAGTCTATGTCCACCCGATACTGGTCTTCACTCGACAAAGATACAGAAACAATCACCTCCAAATCTGGGCTGTTCAACAGCTTGCTGCGGAGCGGTTTTGGGGTGTCAAACTCAACCCGTACTTTCGACAGACCGGTTCGATTCACTGCAGCACTCGGTTCCTCCTCGAACACACACGCCAAGATACCGATATTTCCAACAGTTCCAGTGGGACTCCGGAGAGACCATTTGCCGCTTTCTCGCTCACTCTCGGAGAATCTGCCCTCGATTTTTGCCTTCACAATCTCTTCAATCACTCTGCTAGCCCGGCCCTCATACATGGAAGCCGGCTCCAAGGCCAGAAGATCAACCGTTGTATTTTGATTTGGACGCGACTTCACCGATGTAGGTGACAGGAACAAGATGCGCCCGCACGTGGATTGCATGCAACGTACAGTGTGGAGATCATATACCTGCACAACACGGATATCGGTTGAAGGTAATGAGCTACCCGGGCCGTTGGCAGCTGATGCTGCGTTGTCCAACTCGGTCAACAGACCACGCGCTGTTGTCTTGCTGCCAGGGACTTTTGATAGCAGTACCAGGCAGTTCTTGTATATTAACATAATGCCAGCGGTAGGATCAGGGGCCGGATTGTCTAGCTGATAGGGCGGTGATAGTTCATAGAAATCGACAGCTGTTATCAGACGACCAGTTGGCAATATGGTTGATGGCCAGCCATCGACTAACTCCTTTAGTCGGCGGAAACTTTGATCATGGTTCGTCGATGAAGGATCGTCTAGCGAACATATGTCCTTGATGATGTCTCGCGCTTTCAGGAATGGTCGGACGGCGGGGTGTATTAAAGGAAGGCTGCTTGTCATCGTGTCGATTAAGAGACTGTAGCGGGGTAAACGTTGGACAGGTTCCATCAGCAGTGACCGTAGTAATTGCTCCCCGGTGTCATGAACACGCCTCGAAAAGCTGGATTGTTTGTCCCGCATGAACGAATTAAGCGTTTGGGTAAATCCTGTATGGGCGCGCATATAGTCCGCATAAGGATCAGAGAATCGGGGGAACCACTCAATGAGGGCGTGCGCGAAGGCGACTGCCCCAACTGCATCTCCCCCTTCCTTCACTGAATGTCGTTGCGATACAGATGACAAGAGTTCCGTATCGATTGTGATATCTTCAATGGCCTCTTTCTCCGTTTCTTCAAGTACCTGACGTATCACTTCCAGAAATCCCATATTGACGTCGAGAATCTCATTCAGACAGGGGGGAAATAGAGTGGCTAGAGCAGCCTCGTCAGGGCTCGTACTCGATGGCGCTCTTCCTTGAGCTTTCAACCGATACTCCTCCGCCACATGGCGTACAAGAGTATAAAGTTTATTCACATATCTCTCCTCCGTATCCACAAATTCACACATCTTTAGACGGAAGTCCTGTTTTTGGCTTTTGGTGAACACTCTAGACTTGCTCACATTCGTGGGTTGCGATGGCGCTCGTTTTAGCCGCGACGTTGGCAGGAACATCGGCGCCCCCAAGCCGCGGATGAGAGACGTATATTGCCCGTACTGAAGATCTGGAGGATCATCGATATCGGCATTGTCGTCGTCAAGACCATCGTTGTCGGGCCGCGAATGAGGCTGGATAGTCCCCGGCGGAAGCAAAACGTCGATGTCAACCCATGGAACCTTGCGTTCTTGGAAAGCGCCCCGAATATCGCGAAGTATGTCTGATGTATGTTCCACCTTTACCATGCGATTCGCCAGATCCGCCGCATGCATCTCATCAAACATCTTGGGGAGATTTCCAGCTGCTTTCCCCGC